ATTATCATGTTATATCATGTTACCATGTTATAATTATCACGTTACGTATAGTTAGTTATACTGTATAATTATATCATGTTATATAATTATATATCATGTTATATATATATATTATGTATATAATTATATATATCATGTTATATAATTATATATCATGTTATGTATATATATTATGTATATCATGTTATTATAATTATCATGTTATTATAATTATCATGTTATAATAATAAATTCAAATGTTAAATCATGTATAACCTTAAAACATCTAACACCTAATAATAACCTAATAATAAAATTTTAATCTGTTAATTTTAGTAACTTATGGTTTCATAAAATTATTTCGAAAAAAATAAAAAGAAAAAAACATTTAATAAAACACATATGTAGTATTATCATAGCATCATGAATTGATAAGGTTCCTGATAAAGTTATTGATAGATAAATAAATTTCATGTATAAATATTTGGAAATGTTATTCCTGGATTATTAATGAAACAAATGATACAGTAATATCAAACAGTAAAAAGATTTTATAGGTCAAATATGAAACCGATCAAGGGGAAAATAGTGTTTGATGATAAACAACACATTTAATTTATGCTAAATGATGCGTACGATTTGTAGATGCCTAAACAAAATGTCGCGTTCACAACCACGCTGGTCGCGCAACGTCATCATAAGGCTATCTACATACATTATCAACAACATACATCTGTACATATCGGCATACATTTATGATTTTTTTAGAATCTACAATGTTTTTATTACTCAAAAAACCCGTGACAATATCAAATTTTGCTAGTTTTTAATTATTTTAGTTATAGTGAGGAAGGACAAAATTTGGTTTAAAGTTATTTTAGTAAATTTTGGTTATAATGAGGAAGGACAGAATTTGTTTACATTTTTGAAATAATTAACTGGTACGTGCTTCTTTTTTATCTCTAACATTATTTTGATATCCTGCATTTTATAAAAACAATAACATGTAATAACCTGACAGTAACATTAAAAAGTATACAAAGCAGAAGGTTGAAGTTGTGCAATAAATAAACTCTTGAGAATTATAGGGAAATAAGAAAGTAAGGATGAAAAGAAATACCAAGATTTTGATACTAAATATTGAGATACGAAAATACTAAATATTGAAAATTGAACTATTGGAAATACTGTGGTATATCACAATCATATGTACAAATAATAAAATTCTTATCTTACATATCGATAACCCAGTTTAAAAATACTTGAAGAACATCCTGATGTCACGAAAGTGTAAAGTGGTAATGTTACATATACTTACGTAAAATAGCTTAAGAAACTAAATTACGGTTCGTAAAGTAATATTAACGATGATGCATTGTTTATCCAATTTGAAATATTGAAAATTTGCATGCATTGAAAAAATCATAATAATCATAATTATTAATAATAATATTAAATATTATTAATATTATTAATTTTTAATATACTGTAATAATAAAGAAGCATGCAACGATGAAAAAAAGAATCGCACCACGAGGAATCAATCCGTAAGAATTTGTTACTATTTGAAAAATTTCAACACAAGATACCACAAACAGTAAACTTTATCCCGCTGTACCGCTAAAAGAAAAGCGTCATCTTACATCGTAACACATCGTACGTAACACATCGTGACATATTATAAACATGATAATAAATTGATTGGATTCCATGCTAACGGTTTTATAAATAACTGTCGCACAAAATTATCGTGGAGAGCACAAATATGCTTCGGGTATTACCGTAGTAAAACATAGTAACCGTAGTAACTGTAAATACATACCTATACGTTAAATACTTATTACATGCCCATGCCGATTTTACCAGCAAAATAAACAAATTTTTCCGTAGTTCTTTCTTTTCAACTTATTTTGGGTGGTTACTCTTAATTCTGTAATTGACCACATCTAATCATTTACCATCTAATCAAGGATCATGTGATTTTATCGTTGTTTCCCGATTCGTGCTCAATTATTAAACTTAATAATTTATTATCGTTATGAATTATAATTTATCGTCGTTAGAGAAATAAATTTAATAGTTGGTCTTTTGTACTGTATTATTGCGTCAATAACTTTATTATCTATTATCTTTATTATCAGTTATTAGTTATTTTAGTTATTACACTTTTATTACTCACATTATCTACCCATTTACATCATCATATCGTATCGGTGATCACCGGTTTTCACAAATTGTAATTAACTCCAAAGTATTGGTAATTTAAAAAATAATAATAATAATAATACATTTAATCAACCGCATGAATGAATTAAAAAAAAAAGCATGGGTTTGGATGAAATATAATTATAATTATAATCATAATTATAATTACAATGTTTCAGTATCATTTATCTCATTTATATCGCTTAAATCATTTAATTTCATAAAAAAATATTTTTAATCTTGGCAAATGAATAATTATAGACCACGGTACAGGATTAAGAAGAAACCCCGATAATTTTATAAAAAGGAATCTTATTCCGAAATTAAAATTAATTAAGGTCACCAATGAAGATCAAAGGATAGACCTGGTGATATTTACGTCATCATTTTGAGAGTTAACTCGCCTGAGCAAGAGATGCAAGGGGGTGGGGAAATTGAATTATCCCAAAGGACCAGTCATAAGACCCTCAACTAGTATGACAACAGGACAGTCCCATATGGAGATTTGTTCTATATAACATCCGGAATGGCAATACGTAATCATAGTAATCATAGTAATCATCATAATCATCATTATCATAATGCATAGTTTAAAGAAATTCATACAATAAAGTTTCTAATCATAGATTAAATACGTGACCAAAATGACACATATTAGTATGAATAAGGTAAATATGAAAGATTTTTGTTGCGCATTTATACATTTACACATTTACACATTTTTTACGCATTTACTTTATTATTTTTTTTTTTTTTACACCAGTAAATTATACTATTATGTTGAAATTCAAAATTCTGTTGAATATCAAAAAGATGATCTTTTTTTTTTGGTGAATCTAACAAAGCGCAGATTCAATTTATATAATTATGATTATTCGGCGTAACGATAATAAGGTCATTTTCCCCCTTGTTTCTCAATTTTAAAGGTTCGGGAACTACGAATACATTGTACAGTAAAAAAAAAAAAGCTTATATTTTTCTATTTTTTTAAAAAGATAGATCACAAGCTTTTTTACATTCTTCGTTCGATAAATAGAGTTTGCGCATTGAACAACATGTATTTAAGTTAGGATAAACGAGTAAAACGAGTATAAAGCAACAATTGCATTAACATTCTGTTCATTGACAATTGTTTTTCATTACTAATAATTACTAATACTTGATTATAATAGTTACTGAGAGAAAAAAAGAATTTTTTTTTTTTTATCACCTTTTTACAGCATTTACAATAGTCTTTACAATATAGTCTTTACAATATAGTATTTACAGTAGTATTTACAACAGTATTTTACAGAGATTTACAGTGTGTATTTTAAATTATTAATGTAATTTACAGTAATTACTGTAATTACAGTCAGTCAGTAATACTGTAATTACAGTAATACTGTATTATCAAGTAATCTACTGTGACTGAACAATAAATAATTGATAAAGTTATAATGCTTATATTATATATATTTTTATGTATGTTCGGCTGCGAGGCTTGTTTTTTTTCAATATTATTATTCAACATGTAATATAAATTAAATACATAAATAGAATATCATCATTGTGCAAAAATGAGACAATGCGGAAAATAGCACATATAAAAAACATTCTTTTCTTCTTAGCCAATCAAGGTATATTTTTTAAAAAAAATCTTTCAAAGGCGAATAAGGGAAAATTATACGTACGTTAGAAGAATATTTTCATACCCCTATGATGTAACTCATTTTTCGCCTGTTGTTTCTCTGTATGTTGAAAATATATATAAAGGGGTTAGATTTGACCGAAGAAGACAAAACAGAAAGAAATAAAATTTATATATATATATATATATAGATATATGTATAAAAAAAATAAATAAATAAAATTTTTAAAAAAAATCAAATAAAAAATCACTGAACTTTAACCCTTTCAAAATTTTAAATAACGAAGGAAAAACTTTTAACTCCCTCGCCCGTACTTGGGAACGCCACACCATAATTGGAGTTCTATATGCTAAATATAAATTTTTCCTTTTTAATACCCCTGCACATTTTGTCCATTATTTGCAAATCAAAAAATAACGATATTTGTTAAATTTATCACTTTTCACTTTATTTACTTTATTACTTTATTACGTTTATGTCACTAATTTCCAAATAACTTTTAAATATCACCAATATACATTACACTTTATTATTTTAATCGATTTAACGTTTTTTTATTTATTTAAAGTAAATAATTATATTAAATAATATTATCATTGTCACCCACACATTTATATAAAGGCGATAAAAGTTTCGATTTAAAAAAAAAAAAAAAAACTTTTTGATTTCATATAATTAAATAATAAATTCGAAATAGCAAAAAAAAGAAATACGCACACATACATTTTATTTAATCCAGATCTTACTTTTATTTGGACCTTTTTGATATACATAGTGCCTCCCATTCACATAACATATAAAAAGTGTACGCTTTGACTCGTAACCTTTTTTTTTTTTTTAAAGTTTAAATAATATTCTACCTGCACAAAAAAAAAATAACTGTAGTAATCTTAGTATTTTCCTTATTAATACAAAAAGGTTTTGTCAAACCAAAAGTATTCAAAAGTATTTAAAGACATCATTAGCCGCCTTATTTTTTTTTAAAAAAAAAATTTAAAAAAAAAAATAAAAAAAAAAATCGACATCGACAATATCGACAATATCGACAACATCGGCACAACTCACGTCTTAATGATCAAATCTCGTTCCACATTTAACAAACGTACTTTAACTGAAACAACTAACGAACATCAACTTAACAACACACAACAAATCAACTACATTAATACACCAGCAGTTGTTATGATGACTCCCCCTCTCTCTCAAAGGTCTACAAAGCGCCGTAGAAATCGAGATACACCACCACGACCATTAAACTCGTTTATGATATATCGTCGAGAATTTCAAAAAAAGATCAAGGAACAGAATCCCAATATTCTTCTTTCAGAACTCTCTCGAATTTCAAAGTCCGCTGCGGACCAGTGGGCTAATGAACCACAAAACGTGAAACAAATCTACGCCGAAAAGGCCAGATTCGAAAAAGAACAGCATATGAAATTGTATCCGAATTACGTTTATTGTCCGAGACGTCCAACAAAAACGAAACCGAGAAAAAAGTCCACGTCCGAAGGCTCTTCAGAGAAGATGTCGGTTAGATTTCTCCTGAATGATGATCCAACAACAAATTCTTCATTTAGAGCCTACCACCCTCATACCTTTGCATGAGCACTTCGAGGGTGGATTGACGAAACGCTGTTGTCTTCGATCAACTTTGATAAATAATAATATTAATAATAATAAATAATAATAATAATAATAATATATATAATAATATATATATAATAATAATCAATATATATATATATAATAAATTATTATTAATATTGTTGCTATTATTATTATTATTCTTTCAAATAGTTCTTTCACAATTTGAACTTTTCGTCAATCTCTTTGAGATAGATCCCCGAATCAAATGAAAAAAAAAACCACACACGCACAAAATAATAATAATTTTAATCATCATCATTTATAACTTTACAGTATTTTCTTTGTAAATTATTTCATTATTTTTTTTTTTTTCTCGTCTCTTTCAACCTTCAATCTTTCAATCTTTCAATCATTTTCGACATAGCCCCCCTCCTACTACCTTTCAACGAAAATCAAAAAAAAAATTGAAAATGCAGTAAAAAAAAAAAAAAAAAAAAAAAAAAAAAAGGAAAAAAAAATGAACTATATAAAAAATATATATATATATACATTGTATGTTCAAGCAAGATACGTATAAACTTAGGATTCATGAAAATATTCTTCTAAGCTTCCCTTTTAGTATATACTGCGACTATATATCCTGTACAGCTTTTTGATTTCTTGTTTATTTTGATTTATTTTTTTTCTTTTTTATTATTTTTTCGGTTTTTTTTGTAAGTAGTATTTGTTTATTATTTTTTTTTTCTCTCTCCATTTTCTCATTTTAATTATATAAAATTCAGAATTTAAATATGGGCAAGCTTACAATAATATGTCATCTAGTAATCAAATTTTTTATTATATACAAATTTAATAAAGCTTGAAAAATAAACTTTAATCATTTATAAATTATATACAAACATTATTATTTAGTATTATTATTGATATTGATATTATTGAGATTATGTTTCAAAAAGCATAGTTTTTGTATGTATGCTATATAATACAGTATATAATATGATAATAAGAGTATAATATGATAATAAGAATATAATATGCTAGGTTAACCAATTTCTACATCACATTTTTTTATTCACCCCGTTCTTTCATGCTTGTGTTACATAATGTAAAAAGCTTTCTAACCTTTTTTTAAAGTTAAGTTTCGTACTTCCTAAATAAATTAATTGCTTGATGCTCTCTTTATTCTTGAACTAATGATAATTTTACTCTTTGACCAATTTCCGTATATGTAAGACGATCATAAAAAAAAAAGGAACGTATCAGAAGTTTAGGTTACAAACGCATTTTTTAATCTTAAGCATTCGACGATCATAATTTTCCTAATTTTCCTAAAAAAAAAATAATAATAATATTCCCAGGAAATTTATAAGATTCCGTTCAAATTTATTCAAATATATGTTTCAAATATGTTCAAACGCGTAAAGTAAATTCAAATATGTGTGTGTTATGTGTTAAAGTATATTCAAGTATATTCAAGTATGTTTAAATTAACTTTAAGAGAATCAGATGCAAATTTATTACTGCATATTATTTTTTTATCATTTCGAAATCCTTTAAAGGAAGGGAAAAAAAGGCTTTTACGTATCGGTATACGTATACATTATCCAAAACAAGAAAAGATTTATTCATTGCATTTTTTTAAAAAAATTCTAAAAGATTTCAAAATCATCTTTGATAAGATTTTAATAAGATAAATTAAAAAAATATGTTCAAACGTGAGACTTTCTTTTTTGCGCCAAAATCTCAATCGGGGAAGAAAAATTTTCTTAAAAAAAAATCTAATATGAAAGAAAAGATAAATTATCCAATCAAATTAATTGTATTGTAGTCTGTAAGGAAAAATAATAGTAATAATAATTTTTTTTTGTAGTTTAGTATAAGTTTCATAAAAAAAATCGTCATTATGGTCGAGATTATTGTTTCAATTTTTCAAGGGTACCGATGAAACCTTAATTACTAATTAGTAAATCTGATCTAAATTAGAACAATCAAAGCTTTATACTTATGCATATCCGAACATATAATGTAATTTGGAAACCATTATCTGTCATGAATAATCGTAAATCTGGGAATATACCTAAAACCTTTTAATGGTTAATTAGAGTTATTTAGGATGTAAAAAAAAAAAATGATATTTTAGAATCGGGTACCAAATATTTGATATTTACCTCAAGTAACAAATCGTCCAAATATGAGAACAATGAAATAGGATGTGAGTGAGAACAATATCAAAATAAATATTATCTATTACGTATACATATATATATATATATTATATATATATTATATATATATATATATATGTATGTATACATATATATATTTATATTTATATATATACTATATATATATATATATATTTATTTATTTACTTACATAACTTTATATATGTTTATTTTAATAAAGTAAAGGAAAAATGACAAAACTTAAAAAAGACAGTCAAATTAAATTACAGAGAAGAAAGATTACAGTTACTTTATTTGACATCTTTTAAATCTTTTAAATTTTTCCTTTAAATTCTTAAATACGGTTGATTTTCATTTTGTGGCGAGTTTTAAATCCGAAACACGGTGAAACTTGCATAACAAAGTAACACAACTAGATTACTAATTATGGCGCATCCTATCACTACTTATCACGTAGTAAAAAAAATAGTACTGTATAATGAAACTAATAGATGAATTCAATTGTGTTAGTTGTGTCAAAGTTGTGATTGTGTCAGGAAGAGGCGCGAATATTTCGGATAGTGTTTTAAAGTTACAGCAGTAAGTAATGAATTATAATGAATTATATTGAATTATATTGAATTATATTGAATTATTGGAATTTATAGAAAGATACGTAGAAATATCGATAGAAATGAGGTCATTTCATATTATTAAATATTATTAAAAAACTATGTGGCAGATTTACTATTCAGATTGTTTGCAGGTATATAGAGTTTATCTCGTTAATGTATTATTGATAAGTGTATACGTTGTTGATACATACGTATTGATGTATGTTTAATACTGTAATATGCATTTATCAAAATACAGCAATTTCAGATACTATCAATAATATCTGCTATAAATGATAAATCTCCGAAAAATTTTACAGTATGATTTTTAAGAAATTCTTCACGAGCATCGCGTGGCTTTTTTTTTTCTTTTATCATCTCTTCAAAAAAGATTCACATGTGGAAGATGATCTTTATGAAATCAAGGACAATGGTCTAATTTTGATTTACAAATGCATGATGATAAAATCGATAAAAAAAAATATATCAGATACACAGTATGGCGAGAAGATATGAGTTGTCACATTATACACATTATATATAACATTATCTGTTATACACATTCACATTATACATGTACATGTACACTTATCACATAGCAGATAATAGCAGATAATAGCAGATAATAGCAGATAATAGCAGATAATAGCAGATGATAGCAGATAGAAAATCTTAAAAAATCCGTTCGTGTCAAACTTTCATTAAACATTCATCAAACATTCATCAAACATTCATCAAAAAAGTTATCAAAGAATAAGATGAATAAGTTTTATTTCTTGTATCACTTCTGGAAACTCAGCCCAAATTACTTTAATAGAATCTAAAAAAGGATCATCGTATGATCATTATTGTTGAAAGAACAATGTCAAGGTGAGATGAGATAATTTGATGATCACCAATATACATTGCATCAATTACTTATATCGTTTTTTAATAGATAATAACGTTTTTCTTTTTCGCTTTACTCATGGTTTTCATTTTACTCTTATAATGCAGAATTTTGCAGTTATCTTTTTTTATTGTTAAAAAACTATGGCAAATTTTCCGACACGATTCGATTTGATATTTATTTGGGTAACAAGTAATCCTTAAAAAATTTATTGTTCGTTTTTTGATCAGTTTGTAGAACACATTTTACAGAATTTAAATTCTTTATTCTGACACGTTAAAATAATTTAATTGGATAATAATTAAAAAAAATTTATTTGGTGTTATTAATGGTAATTATTAATAGTAACAAGATTCATTATCGAAAAAATTTTTCTCATTTCTATTGTTCTATACTGTACAATGTCCTTCTATACTGTACAATTTCAATACAATGTTCAATACAATGTTCAATACAATGTTCAATACAATGATTTATACAAACAATGTTCTATACAATGTACAGTACGTATCATATACACGTTTATCATCATTAATTTTCCTATCACAAAATTAGTCATCTTTTCTTTTTCACAATGTTATATAATAAACAAAAAGAGGAAAAAAAAATGGAGCCGATGTACGTGTGACTGTACCCCTTGCCTATTGTTCTTTGCATTCTTTAAATAAATTCCATATAAGAATGTGAATATTACTATTTACGAATTACGTCATCCGAAAAAAACGAAATCACCATCTCTATATATATATTTATTGCATCCAACCTTCCATTTTAGTTTTTACTTTTATTTTTTTACTTTTATTTTTTACTTTTATTTTTTTACTTTTATTTTTTACTTTTATTTTTTACTTTATACAATTCATTCTATCACTCAAATTTTAGTATAATATTTAAAACATTTTTGGTATTCATGCGGAGAAAAAAAAAGCTTTATCAATACTTTATCGGTTCATATATCTTCTTTTCCTAATAAAAAAAAATTTTTAATATGAGCGCGTTTTATTTCCGAAAAAAAATTTCATAAAGTTCATTTTTGTAAAATTTAAAATTCGTGAACATGGATTATGTAACAATAAATTCGAAATGCTTTGTTCGTTGTGAACGATCATACTGTATTAAGTTTACAAGTTGATAAAGTTTATAAGTACTTGAGTATACACGTCTATAAAATATACATACATAAAAATCATCAAATCACTAATTCATTAATTCTGTAATTATACATTCATACATTCATACATCCATACATCCATACATCCATACACTCATTCACTCACTCACTCATTCACCCATTCATTCATCTCATCGTTTATCACATAACTCACTTAAGCCCTGTAGTTTGTAATAAAATTTAAAATCAAACCTTTTAATAAAATATGTGATAAGGTCGCGTGTTATTAGTCATTAATTCATGAATTCATTCATTAATTCATTCATTAATTCATTTCATTAATTCATGAATTCATATCCATAACGCGTCTAAAAAGTTCAATTCAATTTAAAATGATGGATGTTAAAGGGGTAAAAATTATCACACATTAAACCACATTAAAACAGATTAAAAGAATTAAAAATAAGGATTTTGAATTGGCTATCAATGATTACTCCGATGATTAACTCGATGATTACTCGATAGTCACTTTTAATATGGTCATTAGAATGATCGCTCGATGATTATTTGACTCCTTTAAAAATTCATCATACATCATATATCATTCATAATATAAACATTCATAATACATGATCCTCATTAAAAAATTTCATATGACACATTAAACGATCGACTGTATCTCAACCTTTTTTTTTTCTTCTTTAATCGCGTACATTCGGCTCTCCGAACGTTTTTAAGTGATCAAAAAAAAAATAATTTAATATATACAAAAAAAGTTAATGGATTTTTTAATCTATTTTTACGTCAAATATATTAGTAGTAATTGATGACAATGATACAATGATTTTCCGTCTATCTGGGCTTCTATACAAAGCATTGAAAGAAAAATTCCAAAGATCGGTTGATCATAAATTAAATTATTAAAATCGGATTTATCAAAAAACTGGTTAGATCACGATTAAAAATAAATTTTAACGCGTGAATCTTAAGTTTTATTAACTTTTTTATTTTTTAATAACGCGTGATACGTATTAAAATAAACACGTGAATTTTGATAACCTGTAATTTCGGTAATTTCGGTAATTTGAACTTTAAATAAAAGCCAATTATCGGTAATACGCGACATATATATATATATATATGAGTGCTGCCAAGGGAGAACAGCTGTCTATGGAAAATTTATCATCATGATAGATTTTCCATAGACGGCTAACTGTATATAAAATATAATTGAAAGTCCGGCAGCACTCATATCAAAAACTATATTTAAATAGTTTGATACCACAATTACAGAATTACGTTAAATTACGCTAAATTACGTCAAATTACGTGTTAAATTAATAATATAGACCTAATACTGTATTCTAAACTTTTTTCGAAAAATGCTCATTATGGTGAAATCATCGGGTCGAGAAAAAGAATAAAATCAAGAGAATATAAGAGAATATAAGAGAATATTATAGTATATGAACTTTACTATATCGAGTTAAAGTTTAATAATACTATAATTTAAAATTCTTTATTACATTGAATCTTCACATATATGATATCCGATATATTATATCTAATTATATCTAATTATATCTAATTATATTCTAATTATATTCATAAAATCCTTTTCCGGTTTTTTTACCCAACAATCCCGCATCAACATACTTTTGCAATAATATGGCAGGTCTATATTTTTCACCAAGCTCATTATGCAATACTTTCATAATAGCCAAACACGTGTCAAGACCAATAAAATCAGCTAATGTTAAAGGTCCCATAGGTGTATTAGTACCAAGTTTCATAGTTGTATCAACATCTTCTCGTGTTGCTATGCCCTTAAAAAAATAATCGCGTATATTATTATATAAATAAATAATGTATAATAATAATAATATATATATTACAATAATAGTATATATATATATATATATATTACAATAATAATTTAAAGTTTTATTACCTGTTCAAGAACAATTATAGCTTCATTAATGTAAGGCATCAACAATCTATTAGCGATGAACCCTGGAACATCTTGAGATTGTGTACAAGTTTTACCCATAGATATTGCTAATTTTTTCGTGATATTTAAAGTTTCATCGGAGGTAGTTAATCCTGAAATAATCTCAACAAGTTTCATCACAGGCACAGGGTTCATGAAATGCATTCCGATAACCTTATAATAATATAATTTATAATTATAATTTACATAATTTTTATAATTTTTATAGTATAATTTATAATTTATAACTTTTAAATTTCAATTAATTAGCGAAAATAATACCTTTTCAGGTCTTTTCGTAGCAGCAGCAATCTTAGTGATACTAATACTACTAGTATTTGTAGCTAAAATTGATTCCTTATTTAAAACATTATCCAAATCTTCAAAAAATTTTCTTTTTAAATCAATATTCTCAGAAACTGCTTCGATAATAAAATCAACATCTGACAATTCGGAAATATCTGTTACAGTTGTGATCCGCTTTTTTATAAAAACTCCTTCTTCATCCGTAATACGATTTTTAGAAACGTCCTTGCTAATCAATACGTCTATAAATTTTAAAAAAAAATCCATTTATATTATTACTATTATAATTATTATTATTAAATTATAAAATTATATTGTTTTATTTATATTAATTAACTATATTAACTATAATAACAATATTATTTATATTATATGTGATATCTAGAATATATGTAAAAGAATATGTAAAAGAATATGTAAAAGAATATAAAAGAATATGTAAAAAGGATGGAATTACCCACTAATTTCAACCCTTTTTCGATCTGTTTAAGGTTTGTATCCAAAATTTTAACCGGTAATTGTGCAACTTTAGCTCCAACCAGAGCAATGCCTATCCCCTGTTTATATGTGTAAAATAGTAAAACTAATTATAGAATCAATTCTTTTTAATGATTTATAAAATTCACTATTACTGTATTACTTTATTATATAGATATTAGATATTCAATGAATAAATACCATTTGACCGGCTCCAACAACTCCTAATTGTTTTACTTGAGTCTAAATAAAAAAAAATAGACAGTCTTTAACTATTGCTATTGATTGATTGATTAAATTAATCCACGTACTGTACATTGATAACGTAAGAAACTAACTTACAACAGCAGAAGAATGAAAGCATGACTATAATTGAATAAATAATTAAATAAATCAAAAAGCTTCAACATGAGAAGTTTCTTGCATTATAAAATATATAAATAAAATATTCTACATAACGATAAATCACCCTAAAGAGACCAACACCATTTGCGGTATAGCATTTATTCATATGATGGCCAATCTGAGATATCATAGAATTAAATAAACGAGTCATATTTTCCTTGTAAAGGAAAGAATTAATCAAAAAAATTTTTTAACCTACTAAACACACGATTTATTGATTTTCTAAACACATGAAATCATGAGTTTTACTAAATATAGATTTATCATAATTTTCATGTGACTAAGTATAAATAGTATAGGGTACTGTACATACGTATAAACGATAGGTTACGATTAACTTTAGGAAAATTAAACCATATCATACAGTACGTATTATGCTTCTTTTTTTCCTTAGATAAGAACATATAGCATCATGCTTTATTTTATTTTCCTTATATAAGAAATAAGTAGTAAAAACAAAAAGTTGAGCAGGGTTACAAAATGCAAATTTAAGCATTAATGTTTTGACATATTTTGTAAACATAAAAATAAAAGGATACAATATAATTTGATTTGATAAAAAAAAACAACAATAATGTAGTTATTAACTCTAAAAAAAAAATAAAAAGACAAATAATAATAATATATCTATATACACGTATATGTTTATACGAATTAAATCAAAATCGAAATTTAAAAATGGTAAGCTTAAAGGCATCAAATATTTTTTTAAAAAGTTATACGTATATCTAATACATGTCTAATACATGTCTAATATATGTCTAATATATGTTTAATATGTGTATAATATGTGTATAATATGTGTCTAATATATGTTTAATACTGGATATGTCTAGTATATATGTCTGTCTAATATATATGCCTAATATATGCCTAATGATGTAACATCAATCTTAAAAGATTGTTTAAAAGAAAGATGAGACGAAAAATAGAAACATATATTAACATACATTATACAGTATATACTACAGTACTAAGAAATAACAATTATCGATAATTATCGATAATTATCGATAATTATCGAGTTTACTAAAAAAAATGTTCATTTTTAATACGTACGTATTAATGTTAAAGGTTATGTTAAAACACGTCAAATCTAAATAATCAAGTCTAAATAAAAGTCTAAATAAAAGCCATGCAAATTAAACCTTCTTTATTATTCTTTATTTTTATTATTCTTTATTATTTTAATAACTAGACCTAAGTAAGGGGATGAACTATAGTAAAATATCACGCAATTGCTTTTTTATTTATTTTTCCTAAAAAATTATATATAGTGTCCTTGCTTATAATTTTTGTAATTATTCCTTTTAACCAATAAGAAATTATATAATAAAAAATAAAAAAAATAGGTTTCATTGGACACCTGATAAAGAAACAAAGTTTTATCCGAAAAAATTACTATAAATCTCATTAATATTTCTATTTACGTGCTAGTGATAAACGATGTTTTAATTAAAGCATTGCAATGATCAAACGAGAAAAAAATAAAAGGAATAAAGACGATAAGCATTGTTCAATCAACCCTTACCTATTTTGTATAAATTTGTGCATCTCTTTGACTCTTGGACAAATTTTGCATCTTAAAACAACTCATTATTCATTATCTATTGTTTTTAAACATTTCATTTGTTCCTGAATTCAACACGATAAAATTTTTTTTTCTCTTTACTAATTTACTTTTCATTAGTACCAATTAAATTCAATTCAATATTTGTTTATCCATTTTTCATTGTTATAATCATTAAAATTTCTCACATCAAAGTTTCAAGGCGTTGCATAAGATAGAAAAACTTTAGTTAATTTTTAAACAAAGTTTCTAATATGTTTCAAAAATAATGTAATATAAAAAAAATATATTGATTAGGTCATCATCAAAGCGTAATACAATTTTGGAAAAGTTTAAAGTTGTTTCTTTGTTTAGGGATTTAAAAAAGTTTTCTGGATCAATTTTGATTATTTATTGAAACTTTATGATTAATCGCATCCATGCAAAACCAATAAAGTGCAATTGTGAAATTACGTGATCTTTTTTTTATTGATAAATAAACATGCAAAAATTTGGAAATGGTTAATGCTAGTTAAAAAAGAAATAACATTATCATAATGTTATAATGTTATAATAATGTTATAATGTTATAATAATGTTATAATGCAGTAGTGTAAAAAAAAAAAAAGAGATATGAAATATTGTACCGGGGATTCTTTCTTGTGACGTTATGAAAAAATGTCATCTCTTCCATTATGTCACTTTTTAAATTACATTATTACAGCATTAGAGCACATTCTTATCCCTCATTAATCGATGTAACCTAATAAATTCTTCAATATTTCCTTGTTTTTTAAGTGAATGATAAACAGGTAGAAATGTTTCTGCATTGGGATGAAATCCGTGTTCTTGAAATTTTTCAATGGTCTCCAATGCTACTTTTGACATTTTCTTACGACACAAGTTCTTTATTATTCCATTATATGTTTCCTATTTATTAAAAAATATATATATAGTTATATATATATATATTATATATATATATATATATATATATATATATATATATATGTATGTATATATGTATATTGAATTCATATGAATAAAAATAAATTACACGTAACAAAAGTGATTACCTTACTCAATGGCGTTTCATTATTCGTCATATGATGTAAAACTATTAATGCTTCATTAAGGTTACCATTTTTTAATAATGTTCCCATTAGAAATGTAAACATATAATTCCGTATTTCTTGTGGTGTCATTTTATAAAGTTCTGTAGATGTCACCTTATTAAGATCAATTTTTTCTCGTGATACTTTTCTTTCTTTTCGTTCTTGTGCAAGTATAACATCTTTTAATATTGTTATCATTGTAAGTCTCATAGTTAGAAATGCTCCAATTCCTATACCAATAATTGCTACTTTTCCTGATGATATTACAAGATCAAGATCTTGTGCAAGAAATAAATATCCATATGCCATCCATTTAGCTCCAAACATTCCAATCGCTATATTTTTTATCCATTGAATCCATTCAATTTTATGAACATTATTTATTACCGATATTGTTGACTTATCAATCGTTACAAATGCTCGTCCAAGCTCCATTTTATTGGCACAGGCGATCAACAATGTTTTATATGTATTAATATCTGGTTTTACTGTATTACTTGTTAATATACTATTATAAATCGCGTATGCTAAATCTGTTCGTTTAGCACTACCAAATACATTAATATATTCATTATAAACCCTTGTTGTTTTGTTTCCTATAGGTATCCTTTCAAAGATTTTAACCGCTACTTCCAATATATCTTCAGTTGTATAATAAGAATTCTCTGGAATTTCTAACCAATAATTTTTTAAATCTTCATTAATTGAGTTTACTAAAATTATTTCTTTATCATTAGAATTTATCGTTAAATGTTTATACTTATTTTTTTCAATTTCATATATTAATCTAGAACATGCTTTAAGTGCTGCTATTATACTATGTTGATGTGGTATATGATATTTGTAAAAAAGTCGATTTACAACATTCTTAAGTTGTGTTATATTATTACAATGTTTAAATTTTATATCAAAATTTTCTGTTGAGAATTTAATATTTTTTGATGAATTAATTTTTAATAAAGTTTGATATGGTTTAAATATATTATCATTATTATTAATAGATGGTGTTAAAGCTTTAGTAGTTAACTTTTTTTTAATAATTTTTTGAATTATTATTTGAGATTTTCGTAATATTTTTATCGTTATCATCATGAGAAAAGAATCAAGATTATATAAACGAATAAAATCTGCCAATTAATTTTATCAAATAAATTATCACATGTTAATTACATAATATCTTATATAATAATATCGATATCGATATTCGATGATATTCGATCGACATAGAAATTTAATCTTACAAAATGGAAGAAAGTAAATCTCCTAGAGATCCTATGGATGTGGACGTTGTAGAAAATGTTGCCACTCCAGAAGTTCAATCAACTGATACTCCACCGTCCGTAAAACTAAAAACTAAAAAATCAAAATGGGAGTCAGAGAGTGAAAACGAGGAATCAGAAAGTGAACGAAAATTTAATAAAAAAAAACGTGGTGCAAAAAAAGCTTTAAAACCTACTGTTGATTCTGAAGCTGATGAACTTAGTTCTCAACATGAAAGTGCAACTGAAGGTGTAAAACGTTTAAAAGTCTCAATTGACACTGCTGAATCTCCGTCAATAAAATCCGTTTCACCCGCTGCTGAATCTGTAAACGAGATCACTGAAGTACCTTCTCCACAAGAAAATACTGTTTCAACTCCACAATCTATGGTTGAACAAATAATTAAACCTGTATCAACAAAACCACCTATGCTTACAGGTTGTCGTAGTGTGGATAATTATGAAAAATTGAATAGAATTGAGGAAGGTGCATATGGTGTTGTTTTTCGTGCCAAAGATAAAGCTACTGGTGAAATTGTTGCTTTGAAAAAATTAAAATTAGATAAAGAAAAAAATGGTTTCCCTATTACATCTTTACGGGAAGTACATACGTTACTTTTGGCTAAACATCCAAATATTGTTAACGTTAGAGAAATTGTAGTTGGAGATGCATTAAAACAGTATGTTAAATTTATCTGATTATCTATCTCACTTATAAATTTACTTATGATTTTACTTATTCATTATTTTTATCTATAGAATATTTATTGTAATGGATTTTATAGAACATGATCTTAAAAGTTTAATGGAGGATATGCAAAGTCCTTTCTTACAATCTGAAGTCAAAACAATAATGCTTCAACTTTTATCTGCTGTTGCAATGTTGCATGATAATTGGATTATTCATCGTGATTTAAAAACTTCAAATTTATTATTAAATAATAGAGGACAAATTAAAGTGGCTGATTTTGGTTTGGCGAGAAAATATGGTAGTCCTTTAGGTCCAATGACAGAATTGGTTGTTACACTTTGGTATCGGTAATGCTTTCAATAATAATATATATATTTATATTTATATATATTAATTATTCAATCATATTAAGTATTTCCTTTCAAAAATAGAGCACCCGAGTTGTTACTAGGTGCCAAGAAATATTCTACGGCTGTTGATATGTGGTCCGTCGGATGTATAATGGGGGAACTGGTTAATAAAGAACCTTTACTACCAGGCCGGACAGAAATTGACCAACTAGATAAGGTATTTCTTGTATAATTATTATAATTACAATAAGTTACAATAATTTACAATAATTTACTATAATTTACTATAATTTACTATAATTACTATAATTATAGATATTTAAATTGTTAGGTATGCCCAACGAAAAAATATGGCCAGGGTTTTCAAAGCTACCCCATGCTAAAAATATTCCTTATTTAAAACAATCGTAAGTTGAATGAATCCTTAAATATAATATTATTTAATATTATTTAATATTATTTAATATTATTTAATATTATTTAATATTATTTAATATTATTTAATAATAAATTTTATCCTTTATTTAAGACATAATTCGATACGTAGTCGATTTCCATATTTGACAGAAAATGGTATTGACTTAATAGCAAGATTGTTAACATATGATCCAACAAGACGAATTACTGCTGAAGAGGCTTTGAAACATCCCTATTTTACGTATGAATTGACTTTATTAAATTATAGAAATAAACTTTAACAGTAATTAATAGGTATTTTAAATTACGTTTTTTTTAGCGAAAGCCCTTTGCCTAAGGATCCAGAAATGTTTCCAACTTGGCCTTCGAAAGGCGGTGGTGAAAAGTATGAAAAATTTGACTCTTATTCTTATTATTGTGCTTTTATATTCTTTTTATATTATAAAATTTAATCTACGTATTTTTTTGCTGTAGGCGTAAATCTTTTGTAAGTCCATCAGCTCCAAATGTTGCGCACGGAATTGGTGAATTGGATGAAGAAGATCAAGCATTTCTAGGTTCTATTTTTGAGAATCAGGGTGGGAATGATTATGGTTTTCGATTAAAGGTCTAAAACAATGCAAAATGATATAAAATGAATATAAAATTTTTGGTCTGCATTCAGGTATGTTTACATAGGTATGTAGCATTTATGTTATTATTCTTAATAAGAATTGTTTATTTATATTTTTCTAAAAACATTCTCTAACTTATTTTATTTAAATTGATACCAAATAAATAATTTTTAACATCTGCTTTGAGTCAACATAAGTTTAAGTGACACGGGTTTATATTTATTTAGTTGCTTTATTGCAGAAAAAAAAGAGTATCTATAATAACCATACAATTGTATATTATATATAATTAATTATAAAAAATTGTTTAATAAAAAAAGTTTCAATTTTCAAATGGAAATTTCAAATTTTCTTTGGTATATCATTTCATTTAATTAAATCAGCATAATGTACAGATATTAGTAATAGGTGATATGGCGTGACGAACCAAATTATTTAAAACGAATACTACGTAATATATATAGTACAGTATTGTAAATTTGTATAACTTATATTTTTTCAGACTATTACTGATTTATCAGATCATCGAATATAAGATTAAGATTTGAATTTTTGATACGTAAAATAAATAGTTATGCAATATTGTTTTTATTTAGCTGTTATAAAATTGATAATACGCACGTACGTACGTAGAAAATTAAAAAAATATTTATTAATTTCACTAACATGTTACATATATGTATATATTTATACGTATATACATGTAAATCTGACATACATATAAAACTGATCGTGATGTGAAACTTCAGAATTTAGATCAGAATCTACAATAACTAACATCAATTTTAATCCAATTAGAATCTACGTGCCTAATCATGTGTCCTGATGTGAAATGACGGTTGGTAATCCTCATCTCCAAGTTTCGGTTTTATCTGGCGGTAATCAAAAAACGCGACGCTTAGAAGATGGCGACTACGCCGCCAGCTAAATCTGTTTTAAATGCTTTAGCTAAACTCAGAGCTAAACTTTTTAATAATGTATATAATCCAACTAATGTGCGAACGGGCAACAAAGTTCTTCGACAACGACTCATTGGACCAACGGTTACAAGCTGGTATCCAAAGCAATTAATAAAAGTTCGCGAAATTACAGACATGTTTCCTGAATTTAACCTAGTAAATCAACAAGAGAAGCAACGTTTAGAGGATATTGCGAAACGAAAGAGGCGTGGAAAAGGCGCACCGAAGAAAGGTTCGATCGTTTTTACATTACATAATTTTCGTTAAAATTTTTTTTTTATACTATATAATAAAACCGATGCGAATTATATATATTTTTTTTAGGAAAAGGAAAACGTGCTACAATTGGCTCGAAGAAAAAATAATATACCAATTCTCAAAAGTATATTAAGAATTCATTTATAAACGGTTTAATCAATCTATACGAGGATAATTATCATACCACTAAACAATTAAATAGTTTTTTAATATAAATTTACATAAAAAATTATTTATGAATTTGCACACTAATTATTTAAGCTGCTCTTCTCGTTGAAGGATCTCTTTATCTAGCTGAATCAATATTGTGGTACGTAATGGAAAACCGTCTTGAGGTAAAGAATGTGCAGTCACTCGAGATGGCTGGAGTTTGTAAATGGCAGTATCGTAGTTAATATATAGCATTAATATATAACATTAATATTCGAAGATATGAACGAATAACTCACAAATTGGGCTCCATCTAAAATTGCTTCAACAATTCCTGCAAGAAACGCGTTACAATTCAGTTGTGATAATTCCTTAGGTACAGAAATATATTTGCTTATCAGTGGATCATTATCTGATATCATATCTGGTGCAATATATGATCAAAGATTAATAAATGTAAATAAGTAAGAAAATTTATGTAAAAAAAAAAAAATACTGTACATTCATCTTCGTGTTCTGTACTCTTTTCTAAAGAATCTGCTTGTTTGCCGAAAAGGGCTTTCCAAACTGTCGTATGAATAAAATATAATATTCCCAAAACTCGCGTTTCTCTCTTATTATTTTTTTCTCGCCATACAGTTAATTCTAGCAAGCGTGTTCCTACTCGATAACCAAAATCATTTAATCTATGTAATAATAATATAAAATGGATAAGAAGGAAAATAAATTAAAAAGTTTTTACAAGGATTTGCCTAAAAATTCTTAAAGTTTACTTATACTTACTTGCGTTCAAGATCTTGAATCCCATGTACGCGCTTTTGAGCATATTGCAACATTTCTGAAAAAAGAAATGCAAAAGCACCTATTCCAACCTAGATTGTTGAAAATACCGTTGAAAAGTCTCTATTAAAAAATTAAAATTTAAAAAGCTAATATCCATTACCTCCAAGCCTCTCGTTTTGTTTAGATTTCTATCAATAATAGAAACACGCTTTCCTAAACGTGAATCTGGTGCCGACATCATTGAGGCTCTCGAAGCTTGAGACATCGTTGTTCAGCAAACGGAGTACGTATGTACGTGCGTATATAACAGTTAACATTTGTGTGACTTTTAAATAACTTGATAGATATTCATTTTTATTGGTCAAAACTAAATTCAGAGATTAAACTCGTGACGAATGAACTATTGGTCGTTGAATGATCATCTACTCGAAAAATTTCCGTAAAACAATGTACCTCGTAGAAATTTCCTTAACAGTTAATTAGGGGACGTCATTAACTTTTTAGGGTTAGGGCACTTTAGGTAGGCGTGCTTATATGGTAAAAATTTTCTTTCTCGACATTTTTTCATTACAACTGTTTCATAAATTCTGGGACACCTGGTAAAAATTAGCAGAATGATTTTTCGACCGATTCGATATATAACGATATATAGCTGTTTTTGTATCACATGTAACACTTGTTCTACGGGAATTGGAACGTTAGCATACTCGTTTAATTTTCGTCTGATTGTTTATTCAACATGTTTGATGTATTTAGCTTGTACATAAGTTAATGCAGTAATGGAAAGACAGCTTTGTCAACCAAAAAAACTTGGCAAGAATGATTAAAAAACTCTGAATATAAATTAGAATTCTATAATGAATAGATTACACGAATTGGCACATATTAAAAAGATAGTGTATATATGTCGTAAATGGGAACAGAATTTAAGTTGATTCGGAATATTTAAGGTTAGGGTTGAGATTTTTTGGTATAATTATTGCGTTCTAATCGTTCTAATCTAAGTGGATTCCTGGATTCCCAAACCTATTGCGGTTTAATTCCCATTTACATTAGTCACTATTATGCCGAATTTATAAACTTGATTGAATCAAACGAAAAATTATTCGGCTAATTTTTTCAGGTGCCCAGAATTTATGAAGCATCTTTTCTTAAGACAATTGAATTCAAAAAACTTCTAGTCATGTGAGCAAATTTTATATTTATCATGATCCAATATCGATGTTATCGTGCAATTATGATCATGCATTACGAGCCATGAGACCGTTGTTGCTGTAATAGCGTACAAAAATAACAATCTATGATCATTGATCTATATATCGTTACATTTTATGAAATTATCGGAATTTCTATTTCATCAAGGCCATATCAAAAGGTTTTAAATTCTCGTCAACTTTTAAATCTGAAAAAATTGAAAATACTGGAATGACGCGAAGAATTACGCTATTAATCCATTTAAATCTTAATTGATTCCTTATGGAGCAGAGGAAAAATTTTTGTTTAACCTCAAATAAATCAAAATCAATTACTTTCTAAGCAATAGTCTATGCATTTTATATTGCAGTATTATATAAAATAGTCTGGTCATGTGCACTAAATTGGGTTCATAACATCTGAATCCTCAGTTTGTTATACCGGTAATCAACTTCGGGTATATATAGAAAGTGTCGCGATAAAATTAACCATTATGATATAATGATGATGTATTATAAGTATAAGTATCATTTTTTTAGAGTTGTTGCTCCGATGCAATATTATTTTTAATGGTCAGCAAACCATGTGGCTTAAAAACAAATAATATATGTTGTACAAAGGTTAATTACTATTAACGTTAGGATCAACGATGGGTCTTTATGTGTTTCGAAAACGACAAATGCTAATTGTTCATACGTTTATATCTTTAATAGCAGTAGTTTTTTCAATTAACATTGCGTTATTTTTGAACTTTTTTTATATTAAATTTTCTTTATGGAAGACTTGGAAGACAGCAAATTACAAGAAGCCGTTCGTTATTTGGCAGAAGGTGATAAAGCGTGAGTTGTAATCTTGTATATTTGTGGTTTTTGTGTCTTAACAAAAAACGTAAGTACTTATTTCTTTCAGAACTGAAAAGAACTGGTTTAAAAAACCAGAATGGGATGTTGCTGGACAAAATTATGAAAAAGCTGGTATTTGTAGTATTTTTTTGATATTTTTAGTTTTTTAAAAGCATTTTCTTTCACTCAACAAATTCGGCTTTTATAGGCTCTTGTTTCAAGGCGGCCCGGTCGTATGATCAAGCAATTCAGGCTTACCAAAAAGCATCTGATGCTTTATTTAAATCTGATCTGTAGGTTTTTCAATCTCGCTTATGTTTGTATGTATGCATGCTTTTATCAATATTTATTATCATACCCTTTTATCCTTTGTGTTTTTACGTATTTGAAGATTATTCATGTCGGCAAAGACTATGGAATCTGCTGCTACGATAGCAGCCCTGCAACTAAAACAGCCTGAACGTGCTGCTGAAATGTATAAGAAAGCCAGCGACCTTTATCTAACGCATATGGCCCCAGATCGAGCTGGTGAAATGTTGGAAAAAGGTGCAAGGTATCAAACTAGCGTTATAATTGTTATTATTCTTATAAATTGCTCGGTTCTTATTGCCATTTTTTTTTCATAACATAGAGCTTTAGAGCCGGTTAATGTTGACGAAGCAATAGAATTGTACATTTCAGCATGCTCTTTATATGAATCTGAAGAACGTGAAAAGTTTGCAATCGACACATTTAGAAAGACAATATCAGTCATGCTCAAAAACAAAAGGTTTATTATTATTATTAAAGTTGTTTATTTTTATGTTAGTGTAAAGATTTAATTACTTATTAAACCTTAATTTAGATATGAAGCTGCTGTGGATATATTACATCGACTTAATGCAATATATCAAAGCATCCCTAATCAACAGGGTATAAATAAAACTTGTTTAAGCATCATCATTACTTTACTTGCTGCGGAAGATGAAGTCGAGGCTAAGAAACAATTCCAATTGTTTTGCTTGTAATTATGAATTTTGACTATTTTTTTTTTATTTTTATTTTTTTTGTAATTTACTTAAAATTAATATTCGTAGACATGCATTTGTTCAATCTGAAGAGTCTGCTATTGCATCTGCTCTTCTAGATGCATTTGAACAAGGTGATCAAGAACTTCTGTCCCAAATTGTTCGTAAACAAACTGTCACTTATTTGGATAATGAAATAGCTAAACTGGCTAGAGGACTACAAGTTCCTGGTGATTTTACATAGTTAAAATCAGTGTTCCTGTGATTTCTATCCAAATCCGTGTACAGAATCAGGTGTAAGGTGAATCGAATTACTGGTTTTTTTTTAAAAAAATTCAAACTTTTACTTAAGAAACTACTTTCTATGTCGGTATTGCACATTTTGGATGTCCGAGCCTTTTAGACAGCCCGCTATATAGGCCGATCCTCATCTGGCTTATACATCTAATCCTAAAAATATAATACAATGCAAGACAGCAAAAGACATTCACTTTTTAGTAAAAAAGGTCAACTTTTTTTTTAATAGAAAAATTATAATAAAAATCAAAAAATTTAAATATTTATACATGAAAGTATTGTAACTTATTGCTTGGGTGTAGTTTAAATACTGTAGTTAACCAATAAAATTACAAAAAAAATAAATCTCAATTTTATTAAGTTTTGGTGATTAGCAAGTTGAAGGAAAAACGGGTTTATTAAATTACATCGGTGTTTAAACCAGTTTCGGAAAATTAGTCTGGCAAGTTTAAAAATATATAAATAAAATATACAGTAGTATTGATTTAAATTTTATATATTAAAAATATAAATTTTTGTTTTTTATATTAAGCAGAAGTTATAATTCAATGACCCAGAATCAATGCTACTAATATTTACTTGTATTTTAAAATAAAATTGTAATAATATATTAAATACTGTATATAATCTATTTTTAAAATGGTTTGAGGTGGGTTATACTGTATATTTCATAATTATCTAAAGCATTTCATTAACAATTTTACTCTAGTTTGTATTTTTATTATCTAATTTTTAGTTTTTAATAAACTAATTTTTTTTAAAAATAATAGTATTATAATACTGTACCTTGATTTTTTATTATTATTAAAAAATTAAATAATAAAAATAAATTTTTAACTTTAACAATAAAACTTAATATTAAATTTATTTAGTGTAAATTTATTTTAAATTATATTTAAATTGATAGTTATAACAAATTTTAAGTATTATTTTTTGGATAAATCTATTCGTAACAGCCTGTTACACACTTATTTGTAACAGTTTGACCTATAACTCAAAATTTTACTAAGATAATAATCTCTTTGTGCTACTGTTACAATGCTATGGCCTTCTTGGTTACCATGTAGCAAGGTAACAAGGTCACCCGGTGCAGGGACCCTGCTATTGGGGTGTACACGGGGTGGAAGTGGAATATGCACTACTTCCACTAGCAGGAGGCAAACGGTTCGACATAGGGACAGTATATAAGTTAATA